ACCCCTTTGTTAGTGCCTTCGTCTAGCCCACTGTCATCTGACACACAGTAGAAGCTCAGAAAAATGCCTGATGAATAAACAAGCGAATGAACAAGTGAAGAGGAGGAGGAAGAGCCGCAGAATGCCTTCTGAGGCTGCATGAAGGGCTGTCATGGGGAGGAGATGAAGAAAGCCTCTGGTGGTCAGGGAAGCCCGTTCAGAGGTAAGCCGATGAGGTGAGTGTTTTAGAAGAAGGGAAGTCCCTTGATCAGAGTGTCCTTCCAGGATTTTATTCAGTATGTCCCATATTTAGGTCACTGCTTGTTAACATTCTTAATTAACTCTCCAGAGGAGCTAATTATTTGGCCCCTGGCAAGTCGGGATTCCTAAGCCGAGCTCCCGAGACTGGGCTCCTTTTATGGTACAACGTCACGGGCAGGGGGAGGACCCCCGACCCTTGAAGCAATTCTCTGTACTTTACTGGCTGTGGCCTTAAATTCCAAAAGTAGGCCTTTGTCACTCAGTTCATTGAATAAGGGACTTAGTGAAACATGTGTAAGTCACCTCAGTGTGAATTAGTTCATTCCTTCCTTTCCCGAGAGCAAAGTTTAATAAAGGGGATGTGAGAGTGCAAGAGATTTGGAAACCACTGCGAAAAGATATATTTTCCTTGACATTCCAGGTTTTGTACCCCATCTTCGGCCATGTATAATTTTTTTTTTCTCTCCTTCCCAGTGACTTCAAGGTCCAGTGACCTTTACGGTGAAGTGACTCTTTTAGGAGATCAGTGTAACTTCTAGAACAAACAAATGACTTTAAGTCCTTACAAAATGGATGGTTTATAATTACCCTTCATCCCCATCCTCAGCTCTGGAGTTATTTTTGTTATTGTCTCTTATGCTCAGAACACTTCCTTCTACAAATGCTAGAGCACACTTAGAATCAGTTGCATTTCCAGAATTTCTCTTCTTTGGGGAGCATCTTATTTGGAAAAGGGAGCGTAGAGGCCTGACAGGAAGCTAAGTTTGCATGGCACTTCCTGTAAGAGGGACAAAATGTCAAATGACCATATTTGGATTGGAGGGGGGGTGGGGCTGATAGAAATCCCACTCCCTGGTACCACCACTATTTGCAATAAAGGTTCTGAAAAAGGAGAGGAAAAATCCCAGCAAAACCCCAATTGCATGGCCCAGTGTTACCGTAATACCGTAAGCTCAAAACATCTTGCCCCAGCGGCCCAGCAAGGTCAACTCAGAAACAGTTGAGCTTTAGCAACGTGCCTCACCTGTCTCAGAATGAATGACTAAGGGCTGTTTAAACCTCGTGGTTGGTTAATCATCAATGAGGTTTTTTGACAAACAAAGCAGTGCAAGCCAAGAAAGAAGGGTAGCTAAAAATTAGCTCAGGAAAGGTCATATTTCTTGCAAAATAAGGGTTTGGTGTTGCTTTTGATTGTGGGTGTAATTGTGTGAAATGGAGTTACAAGGAAGTATAATCCCACTGAGGAAGCCAGTGCGCCTCCAAAGATTTTGCCTGGGAACCTCCTCCGCCCTCAGGGTCATCTGCGGGACTGTAGACCTCTGTTCACCTTTGTTGGGGTGCCTGCATTCCTGTAGGGCTAGGAGGGAGAGTGGGAACACCCCGGCCAACACATGTAGCTGCTACCCGAGGCTGGAACCTGGACCTAAAGGGTGTGGGAACTGGAAGAGCCTTGGCTGCCCCTACAAACTTTCCCTCCCAAGATCAGGGTTGGCAGGCATCGCCCAGGGCCAGGAAAGCCAAAGGGAGGGAGTTGCCCACTAGGGGGAGCACTCAGATGCATGTGCTGTTGATTCCTAGGCAATCCCTCAGCTTCTGCAGTCGATAAATGCTGACCTCTGCCATTTTCAGAAAGAAACTTGAAGTCCTAAGGAGAAATGATTTAGGGTTCTTCCCACTTCCCTGTTATAGGGACCAATTCTGTCTGCTCCACAGTTAACACAAACCCATGAACCACGTTTTCTATTGAATGGAACAAAGGCTGAGTTTCTTCCCTCCACGCCCTTTCTTTCTCCTTTGAGGCAGGCACACTTTTTTCAGGGGTTGGAATATACCACGTATTTTCTTCTGGACCTGGCACCTTTTGTTCGCTCTCTTTCCTGCTTATCTGCCCTAACTCCTACTCATCCTGTAGATCTTGGCACAGATGCCACTTCTTCCTGAAATCTTTTTTAACCCCTTGGCCAAGGCTGTGTGTGTCCCCTAGCATTTCATAGCACTTACGATGTTGTCTCAACACATCTAGGACTTTCTGGAGGGCTGCGAGGTCGATGTTGTTGATCGCTGTCTCCAGTGCCTCACACTGTGCTTGCAAACAGCTAGCACTCAACAATGTTATTGAATAAATGGAAACAAAAGGAATAAAAAAGGCATACAACTAAAAGGCTTACTGGAGTTACTATAGCAGTCACGCTACAGTCTATGAAGAGGGGAAAGGAAGTATTTGTTGAATACCTGCAACATACTGGACTTTTTTAAAGATTCATTAACTCATCTGATTTTCACAATAACTTTCTGAAGTCACGATTATTATCTCTACTTTACCAATTAAGAAATTGGTGCTCAGGCAGGCAGGACGTCTTTTACAGTCACGTGGCTGGAAAGTAGCAAAGCTGGGGTTTCACCTCCCAAGCACCATGATTGCAAACCCAGCCTTGTTCCACTAGGCCATGCACGGTGTTTGCTCGCAGATGTATTTGGGCAATCACATTTCCCCCCAGGTTTATTGGTGCAAGGAGCTGGGAAACAAAGTAATGAGGGGAAAAAAGGACAACGAAAAGGCTGTATCCAGTCTGATAGTTTAGTACTTGGAATTAGCAAAACACCTTGTGGATATGCCCTGAATCTCATTCTGTATTTCAACCTAATCCTCCCTTTGACCTTGGGTAGTCAGAGATGGGCAGAATGTGTCAGGGATGTAGTGGGACAAGGATCAAGTGGGTATGTCTGTATCATCCTACCCAGCAATTTTTTTAAAAACTGATAATGTGCATGTGTATATATAAATATATAGATTTATATTTTCAGGGCCATCATGTCAAAATGTCATTTCATCATAACAGCCATGCCATTTTGTGCTTAAAAAAAAACTGATATAAAGACTCAGTGTCCAACAAGACTATAAAAAATATAATATCACTTAATACTTAAAGTAATATACCTTTCTTTAAAAATGTCAAATACCCTAATGCCCTTAAAACTGGGTCTGGGAAGCCAGTGAGGTCAATTATAGCTAACAAAATGCATGTGGCACAGCATAGGCAGTCCTGACGAATGCTGGACTGTCCACAGGACTATCTTTTGCTGGAAAAGAAAAATCAGAACTTGGTTTTCTAATTGTTCTTTCAACTAAATAAGTGCTTATGTATGTTGTCATGACAGCTATTTTTGGAATAAAAAAGTGGGGCTCCTATTTGAGTGAAGAATCAGAGGGCATAGTTATCTCCCCATGACAGTCCTTGAGCCCCCTCCCTCATCCCTGGGACAGGGGTGTAGACAGAACTCCTTGTATTTACCGGCGTACGTACACGTTGGCTGCCTCGCTCACAGCTGCTCCGTCTTCCACGCTGAGAGCTGGCATTTCAGCCATTCTACCTTCAGTTCCCAGCCCCCAAGAAAGGAGGCTGCATATGAAAGCACACTTCTTAGCCAATGAAAAAGAAGCTACTCTTGTAGAAAAGCTTTTCTTCTCATTTTTAGGGCTCTGAAGCAGTCCATTGGCATGACTAGTTTTATCCATTTCCAGGGTAGGTGTGTAGTCAGAAAAAATCTGGGATTTGGAGTCTGAGCACATACAGCTCCCAGTCCAGCCTGTTACCAGCTGTGTGACCTTGGCCAGTCACATTATCTGCCCTGCCTACTTCACTGCGTTACTGTGAGATCCACCTGAGCCAAAGAGCCTAACGAATCACATAATGGTAGCGTTTGTCCCCACCTGACATGCTATTTACCTGCTCCTTTGGTCCGAGTTTTCCCCCTGGAATGTAAGCTCTTTGTGTGCAAGATTTTGTTGGTTTGTTCACGCTGCAGCCACTGCAGCACCTGGAACAAAGCCTGGCACCTGGTGGAGTGCAACCCACATTTTCTATGACTGTTCGTTCTTTTTCTAACGGGCTCAGACTCCACGATTCCGCAACCTGAAGGGCATCTGTGCTTTTCTCTCAGGACAAGGAATCAGCAGATCTTGTTGCCCTTGAAAATACTGCCTAATGATCTGTCATCTGGGCAAGTTTCCCTGCCTCTTCTGCCTCTAAAAAAGGCCTTTATATTTTAAGAGGAATTTCAAACAATTTTGGTGGGGAGGCCATAACTCAGGCAGCTCAAGGCTAAGAAGGCAGAATTTTTCATCTTAATGGCAAAACCACGTGGGGCAATTTTTAGCAGAAGTAGTTCTATTGACCGCTGATCGCTTTCTCTCAAATCATCTGGTTGGCTTTGCTGATGGACACTGTCTGAAGTTACTGATGAGCTTTACAGAAAAGGGAAGGAAGTGTTCTGCTAACTTTGCTGTGCACCGTGAAAAGGAGAAACAGAAGGCCTTGGCTTCCTACACAGGGACCGACATATAGGTCACCCCAGCACTTCATGAAACCACCAAACAACTCCATGTAACATCAACTGCCTCCATTTAGAGTGGCGTGTAAAGCTGCTGGGATCATAAACAAGCTTAAGTAATAACAGCCATGACAGGCTTTGCCACATCCTATTCCAATCCAGATGCCGAGCAGCATTTGAGTGTCGAACTTCCAACCACCTGAGCTCAAGAGTTTGATGTAGTGGTAATTCACATTTTTTACTGTGTACCCCCTCTTCAGTAGCAATTCCAAACCAAAAACCGTGAGAGCAACTTGCTGGTATCTCCAGCTGAAAACACTGAATTAGTTCGTTTCTTCTATGCTGTTAAGGGTTTTTCTAATTTTGTTAGAAAAAGAAAATCAGTATAAAGAAAACACAATTTAAAATACGGTCTTGAAACTGCTTTAAAGACGGCTTTATTTACTACATACATCCTAAGAATGTGTTGTAAATAGAGCAGGAGCTAAATAGGTTTAAAAGCTTCTCAAATACAAACCACCTAAGGACAAGACAACTACTAGCATGTTTGAAAACAGAACTCTGAAGTGTTTTTTTTTTTTAAACATTTATATAGTTTGTTCTTAACCCTAAGGAAAAAAAAAAAGTTCACATTTCAAGTTATAAACTTACCTCAGTAGTGTATGTGAAATGGGTTTGAAATAGAAACAAGTAAGAGGCTCGCTGACACCTAACTGGCTGTCACCAACATTTGTTTTTAAGGTAGTTTGGTATTTGCCATGTTATTTTTCTTCTTCTTCTTTTAACTTTCCCCCCAAATAATTTACAGGCACATGTAAAATACAGTAAGACCGCTGGGTCAGAGTCTCATCCAGGGAAACCCTGTGACAATCCTACACTGGAAGGAGACCATTTCTTTCACACAAAATCAAGGGATGAGGATCTGGTCCAAATTGCGTTTCGTTGGATTATTCATTCCAACAGATTGGAGTTTGGATGCAGCTTGCTGGTTACCTCATCAGGAACATTGCACAATTACTTTATGTTATTTAAGAATGATGGAAAGAAATGTTAGGAATGTTTAAAGGCCTTTGAAGGCACTCAAAAATTTTACACAATAAATAAATATTGTTTATACATAAAAAACTCATCCCACCGTAAGCTGGGGTGGGGGGGGAGGCATTTGGGAATCTTTTAATTTAGAATTTAAAAAAACAAAACTAAAATATTTGCTAGAGGCATGATTCTAGTATTAATTCACAAATAAGAATTCAGCCATCAGCAAAAATGCAGTGAGTGGATTTTATGGATCAACAATATGACATAAAAACATAACTGTGTTACTTGCTATATATTGCACACCTCACTTCCTTGATAGAGCCTTTAAAAAAATTCCAAGTTGATGTATTTCATAAAATAGATGACAATCTTAGTATTTTACTGTATTTTACATTCACTGTCCTAAGCAAAAGCCTTTAAACAGGCACAAAACACTGCAATAATATATATACTTCCTAATAAAACAAAACTTTTAATAATGTTGAAATAAAATGGTTTCATTTTGCATTAAACTATATACCATGAGCTTCTGAAACATAAAAAAAAAAACAAAACCAACTAAGAGCATTAGGAGATATTTACAAACTCTTAACCCCTGCAGGTCTCTCCTCCTCCTCCTCCTCCTCACCCCCCTCCACCCCTCCTCCTCCTCTCCCTCCTCCTCCTGGGTGTGCCTGGCCCCTGTTCAGCTCACCTGCCTGTCCCATGCACAGCAATGGGCAAGGGAGGAAAGCCTTGTTCAATAAACATAACATTTCCAACACCCACATTTTGCAAGAAACATGATAAGGAAACTAGAAGCATTAACTTTCTGCAACAAGAGTCTCTGGGGGCCTTGCTACAATCACATTCATCGTCTCTACAAACTCCTACTTCAAAAACGAATAAAATAAAAGCAGAAATGGAACTGAAGTTTTATATTGGACAATTAAATAGCAATGCAAAGCTGTCTTATGAAAACTATTGAAGTCTTGTGCTTACACATCAGTTCTACTGAAAATACACCCCCAACCCAAACAAAAAAGCCCAACAAAACCCCAGGAAGAAGTACAAAAGCCATAATGCTTTCTGTACCAGAGGAATTCATTTGCTCTAGACTTGCCACACAGGGAGGTGGTGGTGTTGGGGACAGAAGGAAGGGGTGAGGAGGGGAGTGTGGAGGGACCAGTTTAAGAGCAAAGTCACATAGAGAATGAGCAGGGCCCAAGGCAATGGTGGCAGGTGAGAGCTTTCCAGTGTCTGGACTCAGAAGTGTGACAAGTCTTTTCACTGTTGGCTTAAGGCGAGACTGAGTGTTTAATTTCTTAAAAAAAAAAAAAAAAAAAGGACCATCATGGATAGCACATGGTAACACCGTCAATCCTTAATGCCAGCAAAAATAGAGGTTTTACTCATTTTAAAATTGCACTTTCCAGTATAATTTTTAAAATAACATTTTCTGTAGTATTTTAAAGCACTATTGTTTGTATCTTTAAATATTGACTATATTTTTCAAAATAGTTCCCTAGCTGCTCAAGTGTGCTTTTTAATATATAGTTGATATATTATTGAAGGTACTACAAAATAGAAATCTCTGGAGTGCAGAAGTTAAGAAAATAACCTTCATACTGAAAATATATCCTTAAAAAATACAAAAACAAAAACCTCTATACAAACGTACTACAGCATATAAACGTCTAAGAGATGGTATTAAGGCACGAACCCAACGCAAGTCTCTTGGAAATGTATGAACACAGGCCTGCTACCTTGAAAATAGTCTTAAAAAACTAGTGAAAACTTCATGTATATAAAATATTTCAGTATGATATTTGATTACATTCTTCACTTTCAGGTTTTGTATGTGTGCTAAGCCACCATGTTCTTTCTTCATAAATAGTAAATGTTCCTTCAGTGGTAGTCTCCTGGTCTGTCTCCGCTCACGTCCCCACCATCAGTACGTCTGGTAGACGTCGTGAATGGGGACCTGGATAGCAGCAGCAGGGAAGGCCTGAGGTATGTAGCCTGCGTATCCTCCGTAGACGGCGGCGGCCGCGGCCGCGTTCTTCTGTAGTGTGGCAATCGTGGCTGTGGCCGGAGCAGCAAATGGGACGTAACTGGCCCCATAGATCCCGGCAGTGGGAATTCTTTGCACATTTGGGGCCACGGTGTAGACCGGAGTTATTGGGCGGCCCTGAGGAGGAGGAGAAAAAACAATCCTTACTCATCACAGTGCCTTCCCCGTTTAGTCCTCCCTTCCTTTAACAACTCCATTCATCTGTTCAACTCCCAGAGGTAAAAACAAAGGTCTCCACTCTCAGGGTGTGGACACAGAAGGGTAAACAAGTAACAATGATTTGTTTAAAGGGCATTAGAAAAGAGCCATTATGAGTTGTGTCCTCAAGGCTCATTCAACAGGTGAAAGTCAGAGAATTAAAATGCTAAAGGAGAGTTGAATGTTTCACTAACCATTCACTCAATCAGCATGTGCCCCAGAGGGAGCTAGAGGAGGGGGTAAAGAATCTATCCTTTACTTCGTTGGTCTCACTGTAATTAAGCATTTTCCTAACACAGGGACCTAATATTCATACCAACTGCCTCAATTCATACATAACTGAAGGAACGTGGTATTTCAAAAACAAAGAGGAGAACAGACTTGACAACTGTACGGAACAGAATTGATAGGTTTCCAAAGGGGCAGCTTCTGAGGCTGCTCTTAAAAATATTGTGACCACCCACAATCGTCCACAAATGTAGTGATTTCAATCATCTCCAACCCCGGCTATAACACCACTGTACACACAGACTGTTGCAGACACTGACGGAAGAAACCAAGTAGTAACCTGGGAAGAGACAGAGACGGCCTCTCAGAAGCAGAGGCATCTGGGGCTGGGTTTCAAAGGATAAGGAGGAGTTTTCACAGGAGGAGGAAGGGGAAGAACAAGCTCACTGAAGCTGCCTCACAGTCGAGGCCACGCTGACTGTAAAAGTCCCTGCTACTTCCTCCTCTCGAAAGTGTCACAGACGATGTTTTCAGGGTGGAGAGGGATAGAGAGGGAGCACTGTGGTTCAGCATTTCCCCAAGTATTCGCAACGGACTTGGGGATTTTTGGTAAAGACGTACATTTAACAACATATCTGGTACAAATGCTGCTGTGGCGTCTATGTCTATGTCTTAATGCCTTGTCAAATAAACAATTCAGGATATAAGAAACAGAGAATTAGATTTTAAAAATTATTTCCTCCTGGATCTTTTATAAAGGAGCAAGTTTTCATTTCTCCAAAAAATCTGCAGATCAGAGTCACAAAATTATGTTCAAAGGAACTGCATAATCTAAGAGTCATTTTTTCAACTGTAACCAAAATAATAATTATACGAATGATAATAATAACTGAAAGCTTATGGTCTATCAGAAACTATTGTTAAGCGCCTTATTTGTATGACATTATTGAATCGTGCCAACCACTAAGGAAGCTGGTACAGTGATTCCACGGACAGGTTCGGATGTACTAAACGACTTGCACAAGGCAAGATAGCTTGTAAGCGGTGGCATCGTGACTTCTGGAGCCTGCAGTTTTAAAAGCCAACATCATCTTGATTCCTACAACCTGTAACGATGAATATCTCATTGCCCACATTTTATAACCAGGGAGAGGAACTTCAGAACTGGGAAGACTGTGGTTCTCAGCAAGGCAAAAGCAATCCTTTCTAAATGTGTGGACATACATTTAATGGCAAACGCACAAAGGGAGGTAACCACAGTGAAGGTGGCACCGGAGAGGAACCCTCCGTGTGCTACAGCCTGGCCTGACTCCTGCGCTCAGGCGTGTGAGATGGGCGGGGCGGGGGGGGGGACCTCGGTTTTCTATCCCCTCAAGGACGAAAGAGTTGTCCTTGCTCTACCTGCACCACAGATTTATTGTAAAGACTAAGAACCCTGAGGCAATCAATTTGAAAAATGACCATCTACACCAGCAAACATTTCCTGTATTCCTTATGAAGGCTACATGAAATTTTGGATATAAAATGGCTACACAGGAACATCCCTGAGCACTTGGAAGACAGAGGCTGACTGAAGGTGTTCCACAGGAAGGTTCTGGAGGCTGTGCTGGGGACTTGTTTCCACTCAGAGCTGTGTTCTATTCACCAAGCAATAGTACTTAAAACGCGTCCTCCTCTGCTGCAGTTTGGCAGAGAATACAGAGGGGGTGAGGACTGCACGTGGCAGGGAATGCCAGGTCACAGACCTCTGATGCAGGGATCTCAGAGACCTCAGAGGCCACAGAGAACGTAGATCTGAGGGACAGTACCAAGGCCAAACCCACTCACAGAAGCCATTCCAAGGTTAAAACGTAAGTAGCACCAGACATTCTGCAGGCGATATTGAAGGAGGGAAAATTCTCCAAAGGAATCAACTGATTATTGTACATCGAGCAAATTCTTAAGCAAAGACTTCACATAAAGACCCTGAGGGTGAAAGCCAGTGCGGACCGACAAAAAACAGCAGCAGGCTGCTATTCAGGCACGATTACGAGGCCTGCAATTTGGGCCTGACCACAACTCCGTGGTCAAGCTCCATGACAAGAAAAAAGTTCACAGATTTCTCAATAAAGAGGAATTAGAAATTATAACCAGACTTCCACCAAGGAACTGCAGGTTACTGTAGATATTTACAGTCCACAAGAAGTAAGGACACTTACCTGTCCTTCTACATTGCGAATCAATTATGACCTATTCCTGCTTTGGCTGTAGGAAGTCCTGAGTTAAAGGCTACTTGATGATGTATTGGTAGACAAATAAACTTTACCCTTTCTGAATAATGCAGTCAAGACTGGTGCTCAAGTGGGAAATGCAAGTAGACAGCAGCCTACTGCAGTGGTTCGCAAGACTGGCTCTGTGTTAGCATCACTGAGGAGCTTGTACAAAATAGGGATGCTGAAGCCCCAGCTCAGCTCTGTGAACTGGAATCTTCTGAGTCTCAGAATCTCTGTTCCTTGGGTAATTCTTATCCAATTAGATAAGGGACCCAGGCCTGAGTATTCGTGTTTGTTGACTGGTGAGGTATTTGAGATTCACTGTCTTATGAAGAATAGCTATGTACTGAAGATATAAAGAAATATAAGATATAGCTCCTGGTCTGGAAGAGCTTCATTTTATTTTATTTACTTTTAGAAATATTTTTATTTTTATTTTTTAGAGAGAGAGGAAAGGAGGGAGAAGAAGAGGGAGAGAAACATTGATGCAGGAGAGAAACATCAGTTGGGTGCCTCTCTCATGTGCCCCAACTGGGGACTGAACTGGCAACCCAAGCATGTACCCTGACTGGGAATCGAACCAGCGACCTTTCGCTTTGGGAAATGATGCCCAACCAACTGAGTCATACTGCTCAGGGCTGGAGGAGCTTCATTTTAATTGGAGAGGTAGAATGTATTGGCAGTCATATGCCAAGTAATAATGTAGGTAATGAGAAGTGCAGGGGAGGTGATTTCCAAACCTAGGCGGATGGGCAAGATTCCACAGAAGAGATGGAGGACACCACAGGTAAGAGAACCCTATGAGTGCAGGTGGGGGAGGAGGCTGGAAGGGCGAGACTGGACTGGGAGCGACCCGGGGACAGCGGGACGTGGTCAGAGGAGGTGATTCAGGGCAGATTTTATAAAATGTCACAGATCGCTACAGCTCTTTCTTTCTCCATGTACATGTACATACATGCTTATATATGTATACATATATACATATGTGTATATTCAGAGAGAGAGAGATTTTTTTCAAAACAAGTCTTCACTGAACTGCAATTTGGAATGTGAAGATGGGAACTCTCTCCCTGGACTTTGGTTGTCAGCACCTTAACACGAGTTAAAAATTATCCAGTGTCATTTAAAAAAAAAATTAGTAAGTACAATTCTGTGACACTGAGAAATTACGCATGTCATTTTTGCATACTGCTTCCCGTCTCTGATTCAGTGATGTTATTAATGTAGTACAATTATTATTTAAAATTTTTGTGTCATGATTTATATTGAAAAATTTTTTTCACCTGATTCCATAGTTCCAGCAGGAAGCAGGGCACACAATGAGCTCTCCTGCTGGACAGTAAATGGGCCCAGGAAAAGGGAGCCCCGCACACAAACCGCAGTGACCGCGGCAGGAAGCCTACCTGGAAAGGCGGCGGCGTCGACACGGCAGGAATGACGGCGGCTGCGGCGGCCGCGGCAGCGGCGGCTGCGGCCGCGGCGCTTGCTGGGTCTGGCTGCACCGGGATGGGGCTGATCATGTGCTCCATTGTGTGGATTTTACCATCGTCGATCATTTTAGGAGCGGGAGCTGCCTGAAACATGGAATACTGGGCCCCTATGGCAGGGATGGCCACTGCAAGACAAGAAAAAGGGAAAAACAGGTCCATCACTTGGTCTATATTTTTAAAAACCCAGTTTGGGAGACGTGGGCTGTTCCCTGCTAATTTATGCTTCCCCAGTAGAGGTGAGGAAGGGATGGGGGTGGCATGTGCTCCCCTGCTAGTCTTTCAAAGGAACCACGTGGGCATGGATGGAGGCCCCTAGAGATCATCGTGGAAGGAAAGTCTAGAGTTATGTTTCTGCACCATTTCCTACAGCTTCTACAGGAAGGTCTTTTGAATTTTACTCTTGATGTCCTACAGAGCAAGAAAGGGCCTCTAACTGAGAAAATAGGCTCAGAATGAGAAGTGAGATCAGAGCCAGAGGCCCAAAGCTGCGAGAGTAAGCCTCCCTCCTCACCCCGCTCACTCCCCGGCCTCCTGCCCTTGTCACTTTCACGGCGTTTCAAGAAGCAGCTGCTGTTGAGGGTTTCATTCTGAGAGCACTCAAGACTGGTGCTCAAGTGGGAAATGCAAGTAGACAGCAGCCTACTGCAGTGGTTTGCAAGACTGGCTCTGTGTTAGCATCACTGAGGAGCTTGTACAAAATAGGGATGCTGAAGCCCCAGCTCCGTTCTGTGAACTGGAATCTTCTGAGTCTCAGAATCTCTGTTCCTTGGGTAATTCTTATCCAATTAGATAAGGGACCCGGGCCTGAAACCCGCGTTTCAGATTTCAACATTACCGATTGAAGAAAAGCTACATAATAAAAAATGAAAGATTCCCTACTTTTCTAATGTCCGCTTATAATAGCAGAGCAGAGGTGACTGGTTTTTCAATGGGACCTGCCAATTCGAAGACGTGTTCCTGTGAGTTAAGTCCAAAGGACTCATTTCCGTCAGAGATTCAAACAGACAGGAGTTACTCAATGTCAGTGTATGATAAAGGTAAAAAGGAAAAAATGCCAGCCCTGACTTGGGGGCATCTGTGGATGTGAGTGTATGTGGGGGCGGGGGGGGGGGGCGGGGAGGAACGGGGGTGGGGGTGGCACGCGTGTGTGTGTTGAGAGGAAAAGCAAGGATATGAAATGCATACACAAAATATCCTTTCATTTCTGGTTTTTTTCCAACTGGAGGTATATTTATTCTAGTAAAAACTGTCTTCATATGAAGTAAAGAGACAAATTTGACCGTAGGCTAAACTATGGCATGGCCATTCAGTGAAATCTACCTAAAACATTAACCAAGTCTTTAACCGGCCTTTCCAACTACATGGTCTTGAGCCTAGACACTTCACTGTGCTGGTGGTTCTCCTAAAATAAAAAGTTCTGATTTTCTATATCACTGAGAAATAGAGGCAAAGGGGAAGGAACCTATCGCAGGTTATGAGTTTTAACTACATTGCAGTTGTGCTAAGTAACTCTGGATTGTTCTGGTTATCAGCCAACAGGAATTTCTACCTTGGGTCCCAGGACAGGACTATGCACTTGAAGATGGTTTAAGAGTTCTTTTCCCTAGTTAAATCTTAAGCTACTTCAACTTGCTAACAGGAGCCCCTTTTCCAACAAGTACAAGCAACAACTCTTGTTTCCAGGCTCTGTTATATGGAATTACAGAGATATGGGATCAGTTTTACAGCGCTTCTAACATCAATAGCATTTATAAGGAAATCCAATCTGAGTCACTTACCTGCAGAATTTTTTCACAATAAAAAAAACAAAAAAAAAAACCAACCCCAAAACAAAAACAAAATAACCCCCCAAACCAAAAACCCTCAAAAAAAAAAAATCCCCCTCCCTAAAAAATCAAAACCCTGAATAATTCAAAAGGAATGTCTGCTGGGAAAATTCTTTCACATCTTATGTGGCCTATGCAAACCTACGCCCCGAATGCGCAGATTCCTTGACTCGGTTAGCCAGAAGGAGCATACAGTTAGCTAGAAGGAGCACACAATCCTCAACCAGAAGAAACTCACAAACTTCGAGGTGAGGATTCTCTCAAAGCGCCCTTCAATCTACCTCAGTGAAACCAGAAGAGGTCTGGAAGAGGATCACTCTGATTACCCAAAACTGGATTTTCTGTGGTGTCTGCTAACAGGGACTTTGTGCTACGCTCACACCGTGGAGTTACAAGTTCCTTGCAGGTTAGGGTCAGAAAGACAACCTGTCTCACCAATGGGCACTAACAACACCGGCAAACTGATTTGTGGAGCCTGGAGGTGAAAGCGAAGTTCAAGGTTCTTGGTTTGAAACACTCGAGCACCCCCAACCCCAATCTACTGATCCAGAAAGAGGAGGAAATGAGTGCTGGGAATTGGAATCCAGGCAATAAGTAGCTGCAAAAATTTTCAACACTGCCTTGTTCCCTTGTTCCTAGGTGTTGCTGATGTGTTAAGTTCACAACAAGGGACAAGTTGTGCTATTTGCTCCAGAAGGGGACTTTTCTACAACTCTCAGAACGGCAGTAAGCTGCACCCTCTGGCTTCCGATGGCTGGAGTAGAAATTGGCTTGAGTAAGGAAAAGACAGTTCTTAGCTGACAGAAGACACAGAAGAGCCTCATGTTTTTCCATTTCCCACACCCCCCTCTCAAGCATAGATTGAGAAAAAGCCTAACAACTGGTGACACACATTTTGTAAAACACACTATTGGAAAGTCTGACTTGAACTAGACCATCCTTTGAAGTTCCAGATTAAGAACAGCCAGGAGGCCACACTTTGCCTATTCTGTGGCTGCCTATGAGAGGAGGGACCATGTGCAAGAGCCCAAGGTAGGCTTGGGGTCACTTCAAAGAGAGGGCTGGGGTTTAGGCTGAATGGATGCATTCTTGCTCTGGTTTATACTGACCTGCACCAGGTTTAATGGCAACTGGATTGACAGTAGAGATTTCCAAATTCTGGACAAGTTCGTATCCTTTTTCTTGCTGCTTTCCTTTCCCTTCATGATATCGGCTATATATACCACGGCCGGCAGAATATCCCCCGAGGTAGGAGCCCCTGGGGCCTGGGGCTCTGTTGCCAGCTGCACCTCGACCCCGGCCTCTTATGCTGCCTGCTTATAATAACAAGACAAAAAAAATGATGAGCAAACAACAGTGACAGTCCAGGAGACAGACCTTAACTCAAGGTTCTTGGCATTTAGGGGTCTTCCTGGAGTCTAAGTGCAGGGGGCTACACCTTTGCTATTCAACGAGCTGATAAAGATACTTCAAACGTTTTATTCCAACCTAGGTTTGCATCCTCAGTGTGTCTGCTACCTGATGCAAGAGATCACCTTGCAGGATGAGTTCCTAGCATTGCAACTGCAACTTCAATAAAGAAACATGTCACAGGTTGTAAAAAAGTTAGAACTGGAAGGGAACTGCTGGTTTACCTTCCTCATTTTATGCGTGAGAAAACAGCCCTAGGGAAGATGAAGAGACTGAGTAAACTCACAAACTCAAAGTGCTAGTCAATCCGTTAGCAGGACCCAGAATCTTAGAATTTTGTTTCCCCGTGTAATATTCAGTTTTATTGTACCCTAGCCAATGATTTTAAAACAAACAAAAAAGCAAACCAATAACATTGTGCCCTCTATTCCCCAACATTCTAAAGATAATTTCACAAGCAGGTTTTAGGTCCCAACTGGGTAGATCTTGAAAAGGCAGCATGCAAGAAGAGCTTGCCTGCTCCCATGATTTTACCGCTTACTCCATACACAGGCAGGATCTGCGCTTCTCTCAATGCTATAGAAGTGAATGCCTTTAAGTGCCAGCAAAGAACAGAACCCAGAGCTGTCCCCCAAATGAGGGTGGGTTAGGGGTCAGGTCCACCAACTCAGTTACAGCCACAACACCCCTGACAAGGCCCGCCTAGCAGACATGGCTCTTGGGGGCCTGCCCAGGAGAACTGCCTCCACTAACCTTTCACGAAGTAGTCCCTGTTGGGCCCGATGAGCGCGTTGTAGGGGTAGCTATAGTAGGCCAGCGTGTAGGGGTCGCAAGAGTATACGTAGCCGGGCGGCTGCACAGCTGCCCCCTCGACCACACCGCCACCCTTGGCCGCCTTCTGATAACGGGAGTATTGCTCCTTGTCCACCGGCTTGGCCAGCGTCACCTCGAGGCACGAGCCCTCCAGGTCCGTGCCATTAAGTTTGCTCATGGCGTGCACGGCATCCTCCCGGCTGGCAAAGTGCACGAAGGCATAGTCGCGGATCTTCTTGACACGCTCCACGCAGCCTGGGTTGAACTGTCCAAAGATTTTCTTGATGGTGTCCTCTGTGGTCTCGATCATGAGGTTCCGCACATAAAGGATCTTCACGGTCTCCATCACATCCTCATCCACGTCGATCTCCGGCTCAGCCCAATCCACAGCGATCTGGTGGCCCCACAGCTGGATGCGGCCAGGCATGAGCTTGCGGCGCGCCATGGCTGCGGCGCGGTGGCTCTCGTACTCCACGAAGGCGAAGCCGCGGTTCTTCATCTTGTCGGCAGCACTAGCGTAGACAATCACATCGAGCACGCCCTCGGTGACCTTGGCGATCTCCTCCAAGATCTCCTCACGCTTCTTCATCTTGGGAATGCCTCCGATGAAGAGGCGGCAGTTGTCGACGCTGCAGCACACGCCAAGCAGGCGGCCCGGGCGGATCTCGTAGTTGTTGAGCTCGCGCACGGCGCGCTTGGCCTCGTTCTTGTGGCAGTACATGACGAAGGCATAGCCCCGGTTCTTGCCATCGAAGTCCATCATGAGGCGCAGCTCATAGATGCGGCCCACGGTCTCAAACACGGGCACCAGCTCATCCTCGTATACGTCGCGCGGGATCTTGCCCACGAAGACCTCGCAGCCACGCTGCGGGTGCGGGCCCTCCCAGCCGGGCGGCGGGCCTCCGTACTTGCGCTGCCCGTTCTCCTGCACCATGGTGTAGCCTGTGCGCGCCAGCAGTGCCAGCAGCGCGGCCTCGTTGGGCGCACCGGCCACACCCTCGGGCACCTTGGCTGAGGACGCAGGGGCCGAGTCGCTGCTCATGGCTGCGGTGGAATCTTCTGCAGTCATAATGTCAAAGGCATCCACGGCTGGTGGAAACCTAAGGGAGGCAGAGAGATGGTGAGTGTAGAATCAAGTGGAGCCGGAACTTGACTCCCCACCCGCACCCCCTTTTTTGAAGACATACAAGACATGCTTATCCATCAGGTGGTTAAATGAGAAACAAGATGGTGACCGCTCTGGAAATGGAGCAGCTCTAAAATAGTCTAAATTACTCAAGTGGTTTTGCATGAAAAACCAGAAGTGACTCGGAAAAAAAATGAAAATGAATGAGCAAGTACTTCCGCTTAATCAGCTTTGAGGCAGAGAACCTGCTGTAATTGTCAGTGAAAACCTCATGATCTTGCAGCAAATGGCAACATCTTTGACTTAATTCCTGCACTGTCAACTCAGAGAGATTTCTCTTTAGTTAGGCATTTAACCCCCACTTATTTCTTTGGCAGACAAAGCCTCTTTGCTTTCTTAAGACAGTCTTTTTTCATTTAGGAATGGAAATAAAGCAAAGTATTTACATTGTTAAGAAAAATTCTGGGATGTTACACAAGATAGATACAGAGCTGTGTGTGGAAGCTTTTTACAAGATAGAAATGGAACATCCACATTGCCAAGGATTTGGCCTAGGAGCTGTGGTAAAGAACAGCATACTATGATTTTAATGGTGCCATTCAAGCAAAACTCTTGGTACAAACCGTTCATGGATTCAGAATCAGTCCACAAAGAGATGAAGCTCAAACTGGGAGGTCTGTGAAGCAACAGCTATCTGGTAAACCACACTATAGTTTTCAGAGATGTGTCACATGCATTATCTTATTTAATCTTAATTGCCTTACATGGTAAGTGATATTATCATTAGTCCCAATTTGTCTATGGAGAAGTAAGCTCAGAGAGGCTGACTAAATTGCCCATTTCAGATAGCAAGTATCACCTAGTACCAGGACTCGATTACAAGTCACCTAGCTCCAGATTCCGTGTCCTTCTAAATCGGTGCTGTGCAATAGAACTTGATGTGATCATGGAAAAGCTGTCATTAGCCACAGGTGGCTACTGCGCACTTGATATGGGGTTGGCATGACCGATAAACTGAGTTAATTTAGAATCGCATATGACAGTACAGGTCTTAACTGTGCCGTCTTCACTCATACAGCTCAGGGGACTGTGGAAATGATTATTTTTAATCCTTTTTCCCTAATGGAAATGATTTTAAATTAGACAATAAGATTAGCAGTAGAAGCTGTGTACTGTGCTTCTGTAATGAAAAGCTCTGATAGGCCTTTTGAAAAATGAAGCTATTACATTATTTCAACTATAAAAGTATTCGAGTAAATTTTATTTCATTTTATAAGCATTCCTCCATGGTCTTAAAACTCTTTGTAAAAACATAAAAATTAATGGCTGCTAAAGTTTTATCATTTAGAACCTGGAACATCATATTTTTAAAATATATACCACTAGGAATTGTATATAAGAGTATTAAGGGACATTTCAAGGATAATTAAATTCATCTAAAGAAAAAAAACCCCAAGTTATAATGATACAACAGAGATCTGAGATGTTCATTTGCCAATGGGCCAAACCAACACTCCTCTGGCTTATCGGCTATACTATCAAGATGCAGCATAGCGTAGTGGGGAAGGGCGGCAGGGCCTCTGGAGCCAGGCTGCAGGGTTGTGTATTGATTCCGGCTCTCCCACTTCCCATATTGCTGTATGACCCGGAGCAAAGGTACTTAGCTGCTCCCTGCCCCAGTTTCCTCACCTGTAAAATGGAAATGTTGATGATGGTATTAAGTTTAGAGGAGTGATTTAAAATATACAAAACACTCGGAACTCTGCTCAGAACATTGTAAATGCTCAGCAAATGTCATTATTATCTTTTATCCAAACTTCTGAGTAAAACATTATACCAACTCTCTCAATTTTAGATAAATTTTGACATTTTCTTAGTTCTTTAAAAACATCTGTTTGATATGGCTTCTGTTCTTACTTTTTCATTTTCTTTGCTGTTCACATGCTTGAAAGCTGGTTTGACAACATATCCAGTTATCCTGAAGGTTTTTTTTAGTGTGCATTTGAAAATGATACATAAGTTCCTGTAGTTTCAACTTGAAACACAAATTTTAATATCAGATTTGAATATGAAGATCTTTTCCTCCTTTCAAATGGAAGGTAGGATATATTCTTAAGAACACTATTTGTAAAAAGACATAGGTGTTTATAATCTTTGTCCTGGGGAGAAAATGCTAAATACACACATAAACATGTATGAGGAAATTCAAGGTCCAAAGTGTTGTCCTACTAAAACACAGACTAAAGTACAAAGAAATAGATGGAACTATCACTCTGCCAAGATATGGGGTTTTCCCAATTGTGCATTGAAACTACCATTTTACACACTCACAAAGTTTTATAATGGTCAGGCTATGGGAGTCATTCCCAATTCCAACCCCATTGATTTCACCAAAAATTGTTTGCTTTTAGTCTGAAATCTTTGGGTATTGGTAACATAACTATCTCATTTAAAACAGTTATAGCTTATTTCTTGTATCTATGAGCCAAGAAAAATCTTTTTTTCCTGAACTTTCATCACTAGAAATAAACGAATCATGTTACTGGTCTTTCTCTCTCTTCCTTGGCCATTAGAAGTTTAGGGTTGAATTTGTCACCTCAGTTTTAGTATCTGTATAAGACATTACAACACACTTTCAAGCTCATCTAATTTTGGCTATAGTTTTTTTTTTTAATCTTTTATATTCCCAATGCCAAAAATTTAGCTATTTATATTATTAATCTTATTGTTTACACATTCTTAAAAGCCATCTCACATAATATAGAAGCTAGGAGAGGAATAAATGCATACACACACATACATGCGTGTATAAATCTAATTTGCACCAGATGTTAGTTAATGTAGTATCTAAACTGTCTAGTACATTCACTACAAATACTGACATAAAAAACAAGTGAGAACCACAATGAGATACCACTTCACACCCATTAACATGGCTCTTATTTTTAAGACACCCAAAATATGTATTGGCAAGAACATGGAAAAATTGAACATTTGCACATTGCTGGTGGGAATGTAAAACGGTGCACCTGCTGCAGCAAACAGTGAGGCTGTTCCTCAAAAACACAAACACAGAATTAACATGATTTACCAATTCCACTACAGGGCATATACCTGAAAGAACTGAAAACTGAGACTCAAACAGATATTTGTACACCAATGATCATAACATTATTATTTACAACAACCAAAAGGTGGAAACAAACCAAGTATCCATTGTTGCATGTGTGGGTAAACAAAATGTGGTATACATACACCATGGAATATTATCAAGCCTTAAAAAGGAAGGAAATTCTGACATATGCTACAACATGGATGAGCCATGAAGACATTATGCTAAGTGAAAAGAGCAAGACACCAAAGTACAGATACTGTATAATTGCACATACATGAAGTACCTAGGATAGTCAAATTCAGAGAGATAAAAAGTAGAATGGTGGTTGTCAGGAGTTGGGGGAAGAGACAATGGGAAATTAACGTTTACTGAGCTTGTTAAAGATGATGAGAACCATGATGTGAATGTACTTAATGCCACTGGACTGTCCACTTAAAAATAGTTAAAATGGGCCCTGGTCAATGTAAATGTGCTTGGGAGGGGATTAAAAATAAAATGATTAAAATGGTTAATTTTGTTATGTATATTTTACCACATTTTTTTTAAAAACTAAAAAAAAAAAAAAATCTCTGATTTTGCATCAGATTTTGTATCAGAGATGCAAAATGGACAAAAATAAGATTCCATAAAATTAGAATTTCATTGGAAGCCAATAAAAAATGGTACACTGAGTTAGTTTAACATAGTCAAGAAAATTTTATGGTTTACAAACTCTATTCTCCTTATCTTCATAGCTAATATAACATAGTTGAAAAATTATATGGTGTGCTGCAATGAATTTGAGCCTAAAGGCTTAGGTACATAAAAGATCATTTATTTAATGCCTTAAAAAAGGGAACTACATACAGCTAACATGACCTTTCTCTTAGAGATGTAATAGAATGTGTAACTACAATTAGACATGCTTTATACCAGGCCTTGGCCTCCTGTGGCCGTGGGCCAAATAAAGCCTGCCATTTGTTTCTATAAATAAAGTTTTGTTAGAAAACACAACCATATCCCATATGTGTGTGTGTGTGTGTGTGTGTGTGGTTTCAAAAGAGGCACAAATAGAAGAGTTTGTGTCCATTCATTCACTCATTCATTCATTCATTCAACAAGTATTTATTGAACACCTACTGTGTGCCAGATGCTGGTACACCTTGTCCTCAGGGAGTTTTACTCAGAGTTAACAGAACTAAAGAATTATGCTTCAAATATAAAAGAGTTAAGAATTTAGGCATTTTGTACTCATGCTCAATGACCAGAGGCTGCTTCAAAAGAGTACCTCAATATATTAATGATTTGCTTCTCATAAGGATAGAGCTCCTCAAGTTAAAATCCAGCCACCATCAGAATTAGGCTTCAAAAGCCCTCTTTAGAAAGGGGGATGTGTAAACACGTGTGTGTGTGTGTGTGTGTGTGGAGGGTGATTGAACAGTAGTGAGAAATAAAATAATACTATCTTTTTAATGACAATATTCTTCTTGGGATAGAGGTATAGACATAATAAACAGAGTTCATTAGTTGAAACTTGTATGTGACTAATAATTTAAAATACCTGGATAAATGGCACAGAATTACCCAATTTCATTCATTCGGCACATGACAGCTTTTAAATGGATTGGATAGTCCTTGATTTGGGCTGCCCAGCCCACTGAATAAATACAGTTTCTGGAGTCAGAGAGACCTAGTTCCAATTCTTGGTTCTTTTGCTTCCTAGCTGTGAGCCTGGGAGAGAGCCATTTAACTACTTTAAGCCTCAATATTCTCATCTTTAAAATGGTGATGAAAATAGCTAATGTTCATTGAATGCCTATTATGTGCCAGGTGGTGTGGTAAGCTCTTTATATGTATTTAACTCACTTCAATCTCATAAT